AATTAATGCTATTAAAAATGAATTGAGAAAGTAAATTTTTAGTTTTGGATTTCCTTTAGAATGTTCAATGTTTGTTTACTGTATATATATTACCCCACTATTTTGATAATTTCATATTTTTTATTTTATCTATATCTTTCAAAAAAATTGAAAATTAGCAAGATGAAAAGCATATAAAAAATTCAAAAAGAAGATATGATTATATATCTCAGGATCTATTAAGATAAATGGAGATTAATGAAAATCTTTTTTTTTTTGTCTTTTAGTACTTGCCATTACTAAGTAGATCATCTATATATGATTAAGATTTACAAAGAAACTAAACTAATTATGTTTGTGTTAAACCAAAAAGGTGAAAAAAAAAAAAAAGAGGCTAGTCAGGAGCATACGTTTCCCTTTAGCTGCTTCTGCGAAAAAAAGAGTGAGAGCCTTTTGAGTGTTTGGGGGAGAGTCGCAGAGATTGCAGAGTTTTAACCACGCGAGGTGTGACTTTGGTCAAGGAACGGGGACCGTATGCAATATAGAATATAGAAAGAACAGACAAAGAAAAGCAGAGCTCGTGAATCCAGCTGTAATCAACACCTGCTGTCGCTCATATCACTGTTTGACAAAGGATAAAGGTTAATGGTCAGATTCCCTGTTACTATCATTTAAGAGTTAAAAAATATAGTTTGAATTATATAAGTAATATAATGATAATTTTTTAAAAAAAAAATTATCAAAAATTATTTACTATTTAATAAGAAGAATAAAGATTATAATTTTAATCAAAGAAGGTAAAATGTTTTAAAATATTTTAATTAAAGGTGAAGATTAAAATTTTAAATATCATAACTTCTTAAATTTTTTTTCAAAACATTATTGACGCCTAATTTTTAACTTGGAATTAGCATGTTGCGCAGATGGATGTCCCTTTTCCTGGAAGGAGGTAGAAAAATAAGGCAGACCTGCTGGGGGAGCACCAGTCATCGAGGAGTCAACATAAGCTTCTTCTGTCTTCTGTTGTCAATTTGATGTCAGTGTGAATGTGAAATCAACGAAACAAAGTAGTTGGAGAAAGAAAAGGAAAGAAAAGAGGAATCTTTCAACTTATCATGAAATAACTAAAAGATAGTAACAAGAAAGAACAAGAAATAACTGTATCTATGAAATTAAACTACACAGATTTAATTAAAAAAATAAGATAACTCATGAAAAAATAATAACAAGATAATAAATAAAATTTGGAAATTTTTTTCTTCCCTGATGAAATTAAGAAATAACTAAATAAGAAATAACAAGAAATATTTGCATCTAATCAAAATTAAATTCAGTAAATTTGATTCAGAACTCGAGGAAAGCAGCGGCAATATTTGAAAATATGAAAAGAAGAAAAAAGCAGACATGCATGTATATGAAACTAAAATCAGCCGCACATATGTAAATATAAAATAAGTACCTTCCAATTCTAAAAGAAGGGGAGATGCCTTAGAAGTTCAAACAAGATAAAAAAGAAGAGTGGTGAGTTTGGATGGTGCTTTGATCTTACTTTGATTTTAGTTGAGTGAACGCTCCTTTTCGATTGATTCCACCCCACCCGGTTTCAGCCCCAGAAACAAGGCAAAAGGGCAGTAACTGTTAGTAGTTGTTAAAATCACATCATAATGAAAAGAAAAGCCGAAAGTGAAAACCAAACAAAATGAGATGCATGTTAAGGGAATATATAATTAGTACCTTTCTAGCTTTGGATTTCCTTTATAATGTTCAATGTTGGAACAAGAAAATAAGATCTATTGGCATGACAGAGGAAAATTGTCTTAAGAGTGGAATCGATCGGTGATCAGTTCGCAGGAAAGGGTTGTAAGATTGAGCTTTGGTTTTGGCAGAGAAATGAAAATGTGGAAGTTAGGTGTTCGGTCATTTATAAATTGATCCCACCACGCGGTTTCCACAAAAGACCGGAATTTAAGTGGAAGGCCATGAAATTAAGAAAATCATTTTATTCTACTTTCCTCTTTTTTTCATTTTTTCTTTTTGTACTAATAGAGTTCTTTTAAATGGGAGAAAATTAAGATATTTTAATAATTATAATGTTAAGATTAATAATAAAAAAATTAAAATATTATTAATAAATTAATATCAGATTCTTTGACACACATATAGA